GGAACTCTTAAATGAGAAAACTCTATCTTTTAATGGAGGTCAGCACCTTCTTTGCCGACAGCAGGGCAAGATTGTGACTTGCCCAGGGTCAAAAGGCAGTATGTGTCATTGGTAGAACTTGAATTCAGGCTCTCTTAACTATCCATTATGTCACATTGCCTTTACATACTTATCTAGAGATATATACAAATTACTATATACATAAAACTTTGTATTGAGAATTTGAGATTTTGACACACCTTTATTTTCATTATGGATGATCCTTGAAATTAATTCTTTACCAGAGGTAGAGATTATTTCTATAAATATGCAAATTATAATTACTATAAACATGCATAGGTCTTTAAAAGAAAGACTCATATCCTGCCATGAACTGCCTAGGTCATTACCTTCTTTTTATTTGTGTCAACATTTCCTTGTTCCTCACTGCTTGCTCCATTTTCTTGGTCCCATTCCTTTTCTTTAGTCGCATTAAGAATATACAAATTTGACTCATTTTGTTTTAGTTCTTTCTATAGATATGCACTGGTAGAACCCTGAGCATGGCAACAGTATATCTGTGCACACTTAACTCAAATTATTTGATATGGGAAGCAGAAGGTGCTCAGAAGGGACACAGATAATCAATCAGTAGGTAGGTTAGTAAATGTTTTTGCAGGCTGGTAGATTTTTTTTCTAATATTTTAAAGATCCTTTCAAGCAGATGATAAGTATGCTGTACTTGTTGGGATTTCATACTTCTGCTGCACAATAGCACCATCCAGTTGTCAAACAAAAAAGTCATGTATAACTGAAATAAACCATCAGGGCCCCTACACTGCAATGTGGACAACTTGCCCCTAGATGAAACAAGTAATTCACAGATGTGACTCTATTAGGAGTGCTATCAAACAATATTCTTCAAAATAGTTCTCTCAGAATTTTGATTTTTAATTGAAACAAAATCCAGCTTTCCTCTCCTCATATATCAGTCAGAATAAAGCATTTGAAACATAACAAAAAGGGTAGGCATTTCTTCTCACTTTTTTAAAAAACCTAAGCAGGAGGTAAAGTCAATTGGTAAAAATGTTTTTTTTAAAAAGATATTTTAGCTTAAGTTTACTCTAAAACTATACTCACGAAGGTATTTCACATCAGGGAATATCAGATGAGTAGATGAGTAAGTCATACAGGGTTATCTGAGGGTTGCCAAAGGGCCTACTCCAAACCATATTTCTCACATTCACAGAATATAGTGGAAAGGTACCACAGTGGCCTTCTAATTCAACCCAGAACCAGAAGAAATTCCCCATTTTAACATCCAGTAAGTAGTCATCAACACTGCCTAAAGAACTGAGTAGAGAACTCACTATTTTACAAGGCAGCTCATTCCTCTTTTGAATTAAGGAGTCTTCTCCCTAACCTTCCCTATTTTGGTGCCTGAAATTCTCACCTACACTTTGTATTGAGGCCTCATCTCCTACTGTAACAGAACCAGAACTATACTTGGATCAGACCTTGGTTCAAATTCTTGCTCTGGCATTTACTTCATGACTATGTTCCAATCACAACTGCAGCCTCAGTTTTCTTATTTGTAATATGGAGATAATAATAATATGATCTACCTCACAAAATTTTAATGGTTGCATAAGTCATCAAGTGTAAACACATCATGTAGGTAATACAACTACATATAGTTTTCTATATGTAGAAAATATACAACTACATGTAGTTTTTTATATACATATACAACTACATATACAACTACATGTAGTTTTTTATATACATATACAACTACATATAGTTTTCTCACCCAAAACAAATCAAAGTAAAAGGTTACAGGACCTACCCAGGAGAAGCCTAAAAGCAGTGTATTCGAAGATTCATGGCAGCACAAGGACACTGGGCTATGAGTGAAAAGCAATAGAGTGAAAAAATGGTAAGGTACTGGAGGGACTGACTAATTAGCAATTTTACCCTAATTTAGCAATTAGGGTATGCTGTGTTGAGACTTAGGGTTTTTTGTTTGTTTGTTTTTGTTCTTGAAAGTTTGGGAGTGTTTGTGTTGACTCAAAATGCCAATAATATTTTAATCACCTCCTCATTAAATGTATTTTATAGGAAATCTACTTATGGGATGAGAGCTTTGCCAACTGAACTATTATCACAATTACTATTTGACTGCCATAATAAAAGATGTGATGTTAAAATTGTAAGCCCTCTAAGAAATACTTTAAATATTTATGATTGAAATGGAAACAAGTTTATATAAAATGTATATTTAACTAAGATCATTTCCAGAACTATCTTAATTTCTATATAGTAACCAAAGAAAACCTAGGAAATACTGCTTCCAAATGAAGTCCATAATTTCCACAACAATGCATCTTTATTCAAGTATAATAGGCAGCTTTGAATTGCTTAGATCAAAATAACATGATTACACCATATTACAGAAATTATTAATAGTCTTCTTTGTTGTTTTTTTTTTAAACTTATGCCATGTAAGATGGTCTGAATTTTGGCAGAATTCCATTCATCACTAGGAAATATTTCTGATGAAAATGCATTTTTAGTTTGAGGAAAAAATCACAAAGTACACATTTACTGGAGTGAAACAAACATTTAATGAAACCAGTTCTAAGTTCACTCTTGAATTTCCTCCCCATCCCAACCCCAGTCCCCCAAACACACCATCATGGTTGTTCATTCATGGTTGAAATATAGCCTACCCTTACAAGGTTGGCTAAGCTTGATAGGTTCAAATTCAGGAGAAAACATGAGTCCTATCTAGTGCAAGATAGGCTCATACTACACATGTTGTAGTAGCCTTACTTAATAGCTGCTTCTTCATCCATAAAACTGATACTTGCATTACCTACCTCAGTTTCATTGTGAGAAAAGCCCTTTGTAAACCTTAAAGTATTATCTAAATGTTATAGCAAGCCTGTAATCTAATACCGGGTTCTAGAAGTTACCTTTCATTCACTCACTCAAGACAGTCACTGTCCTGGTAGAACTTAGTTCAGTACGCAGCCTACAAACACGAGCTAACTGTAACTTGGCTCATTCAGTAAATGCAGTACAAATGTACAAAATAGGGCTGGCTAGGCGAGTTTTTGTTTTTTTTTTTTTTTGCTGAATTCACATGGAGTGGTAAATCAAAGAAGGCTTTGTAGTTCCAATTAGTTTATATTTACCACTTATCTCAATACTGGATACTAGGAAGCATTACCAAAACTTTGCCAGACTTCCACTAGATCATAGCTTAAGGTAAATTTCCTATAGACTTGGAAATCACAGGGCAATAGTACTCCAATTATCTCCTTGGTCCTACTGAAATACTGCTATATAACAGGAAAGATTTATCAGTGGGGAGCTACGTTTGTGAAGCAGCTATGGGCATGGTGCTATGTTAGCAATCCCTTGGGACGAGATAGTGTGGTATAGCGGAAGAAGTTAATAATCTCTAATGTGATCTGTGTGACTTTGGATGAATTACTTCATCTTAGGTTTCAATTTCTCCATCTGTAAGATGAGGTGGTTGGATTCCATGGTCTCTGAGGTTTCTCCAAGTTCTAGATCTGTGATCCTACATCCATAGTACATGGGACAAAACATACATGATAAAGCACTGTCCCCTAACTCACAACCACTCTTTAGCAGCAGCTGTGACAGTGGATAGAAGCTGGGCCTAGAGTTGGCCCAAGTTCAAATCCTGGGCAAGTCACCTAACCTGCTTGTCTGAGTTTTCTCAGCTGTGAAACAGTGAACAGCAGCACACACCTCACTTAACCGTTGTGAGGGTTAAATAAGCATGTAGCACAGTGCCTTGCACATAGCAGGTACTATATA